CTGGGCACTGCTGTGTTTTCCACAACTGCGTAGCTTGAATTGCATTTTTATATGACTTTAAACGGATCTGCTGCTAATTTCTTCAAAAACCGAAGCTCGGCGGCAGTGGGGTCTTTGGGAAAGAATAGAATGGAATAGGGAATAGGGAATAGGGAATAGGGAATAGAATAGAATAGAATAGAATAGAATAGAATAGAAGAGTTGGAAGGGACTTTGTAGGTCATCTAGTCCAACCCTCTACTTAGGCAGGAAATCTTGTACCATTTCAGACAAATGGTTATCCAATCTTAAAAAATTCCAGTGTTGGAGAATGTATAACTTCTGGAGGCATGTTGTTCCACTGGTTAATTGTCCTATCAGGAAATTTCTCCTTAGTTCCAGGTTGCTTCTCTCCTTGATTAGCTTCCACCCATTGCTCCTTGTCCTGCCCTCAGGTGTTTTGGAGAATAGCTTGACCCCCTCAGCTTTGGGGCAGCCCCTGAGATACTGGAAGACAGCTATCTTGTCTCCTGTAGTCCTTTTCATCAAACTAGAGATATCCAATTCTTCTAGCAACCATTCTTCGTATGTTTTAGCCTCCAGTCCCCTAATCATCTTTCTTGCTCTTCTCCACACTCTTTCCAGAATCTCAACGTCTTTTTTACATCATGGTGACCAAAACCGGATGCCGTATTCCAAGTGTGGCCTTACCAAGGCCTTATAAAGTGGTATTAACACTTCGCATGATCTTGATTCCATCCCTCTGTTTATGCAGCCTCGAACTGGGTTGGCTTTTTTGGCAGCTGCAGCACACGGCTGGCTCATATTTAAGTGATTGTCCCATTTGGACTCTGAGATTCCCCTCACAGTATCACTTAGTGGTATTGGCTTCTGCACAGCACATGGGCCAAGAAGTGAATATTCACACAACAACAATATTGTTTTATCAGTGGTCGAAGGCTGAGTTAGGAAATAACCTTGATACCCATGGATGGGTGACCAGGTAAGTATCATAGAACCCTCAGCCTAGAAGGTACCTTGGAGGTCTTCTAGTCCAACCCTTCAAGGGAGGGGGCCTTATTGTATCCTGGAGAAATGGCTGTCCAGTCTTTTCTCAAAGATCTCCAGTGAGAAAAGATTGGGCAGCCATTGGACATTGGAGAGGATCTTCCTGGCCACATAAGCTCCCCAGTGGAAGAGGCTGCTACCTGTTGGGTGAAGTCTCCTTCGTTGGGGTTTTCAAGCAGAGTGTGGGCTCTCTGGGGAATTCTGGGAGGTGAAGTCCATAGGGCTGTAAAGTTGCCAAGGTTGGAGATCCCTTCTTAGTAGATCCCAAAAAAAGGATCACGTTAACAAAAAGTTGGGGCATTGATCACACAGCTGCAGCCCCAACCTGAAGAAGGGCCCCCTTTCAGTCCTCCCAGCTGAGTTGGAGAGTGCGGTCTCTTCTCCCAGTACACGCACGCACACACACACACACACACACACACACACACACATACACGCGCGCTTCTACTCAGATACTTTCAAATGGAGAGAAAAGAGATCCACACAGAACAAAACCAGCTCAAGATTTGAGTCAGGAAATAATCAGGGATTAAATTTTACTTTAAAATTTGGGATGGATGGATGGATGGATGGAGGGAGGGAGGGATACCCACCCATCTTGCCTGAAACACTTCCACGGGGTGGAACTGTGGGTTCCTTGGTGCTCTTTAGGTTTGGTGGTTTGCGCACCCCACTCTCCCTCGCACTGTTGAAGTTCCCTAGTGGGGCACTGCAACATCTGCAGGCAAAGCACCCAGCAACTGGGAGGTTGTTATTTGATTATTTTTGATTATTTTTATTTCTTCTACCTTGTATTTTTATTTTCTGTAAGCTGCCTAGTCACTGGGAGCAAGTAGGCAGCTATATAAATTTGAACGAATTGGATGGATGGATGGATGAATTGAATGAATGCAGAGATGGTATTCAGCAGGTTCTGCCCTGTTCTGGAGAACCGGTATCAGAAATTTTGAGTAGTCCGGAGAACCGGCAAATCCCACCTCTGACTGGCCCTGCGCCCCTCTATTCCCTGCCTCCCATTGAGTCCCAACTGATCGGCTGGGTCTCCTTTGGTTGTCCTGCACAGGAGAACAGAGCTGGAAAGCAGGTTAGTGGGGTGGGGAGGGAAGGGGGATTTTGCAGTATATCCTTCCACTGCCATGCCCACCAAGCCACGCCCACCAAGCCACGCCCACAGAAACAGTAGTAAAAATGTTTGAATCCCACCACTGAATGAATGGATGGGTGGATGAATTGAATGGATGAATGGATGGATGGATTGGATGGATGGATGGATGGATTGAATGAATGGATGGATAGATAGATGGATGGATGAATTGAATGGATGGATGGATGGATGAATTGGATGGATGGATGGATTGAATGGATGGATGGATGGAATAAATGGATAGATGGATGGATGGATGGATGGATGGATGGATGAATTGAATGAATGAATGAATGGATGAATGAATGAATTGAATTGATGGATGGATGGATGGATGAATTGAATGGATGGATGGATGGATGGATGGATGGATGGATGAATGGATGGATGATTTGAATGGATGGATGCATGCATTGAATGAATGAATGGATGGATGGATGGATGAATTGAATGGATGGATGGATGGAGGAATTGAATGAATGGATGCATGAACTGAATGGATGGATGGATGGATGCATGAATTGAATGAATGGATGGATGGATGGATGCATGAATTGAATGAATGGATGGATGGATGGATGGATGGATGGATGGATGGATGAATTGAATGGATGGATGGATGGAGGAATTGAATTGGATGGATGGATGAATTGAATGGATGGATGGATGAATTGAATGGATGGATGGATGGATGGATGAGTGAATGTCCAATGCTTGGTCAACCCCCCCACCCCCCCACCTCCTCCCTGGCTGGCCTGTTTGGATGCTTCTACAGTACCTTGTTCACCACGATGTAACCTTTGGAGTCCAGATGGACCCCGCTCTGCTTCAAAAACCCGGTAGCTGGAGTGGCCCCTGTGCCAAAGAAAAAAGGGGCATTAGCAGTGGGAGGGACTCTTGACCCCCTGCCCCATTTATTTGAACCACAGAAAAGACCATTCCCAAGTGCTAATTGCCCTTGACAAGGCCATCTGCTTTATAAATCATAGAAGGACAGACCGTCTATATAACTGGAGATAATATAAGTTTAAGTCCCCATTAACAATTGTTGTGAGTTTTCCCCTCTCTTCTCCTCCTATTTTCCTTCCATGTTACAGTTTTTTAGCTTATCTTTAGATAGTGATTGTATGGCCTGTAGAACATTCTGGCTTTTTGGTGGAAAATTAAAATTGAAATGCTTTCAATAAATAAATTATAGCCTCTTTCTGCCCTGATACTGATACTGCCTTGCTGACAAAGTCAAACACTTTTTGGGCTCCCTCCATCATGTCAACACTTCTTTCTGACGGTTTCTCATGGCTTCTGAAGACCCCGGTTTCTGTCGTATCAAATAATTATCCTATGCAAGGATTCCTCTGAGTGGTGCAGTGGCCTAGAGGTGAAGTTCTCATCTCACAATCAGGAGTCCGTGAGTTCAATCCTAAGTAAAGGCAAATATTTCTCTCTCTGGGCACAATGAGAATATATCTGCTGAATAAAACTCCGCATTGGTGACAGGAAGGGCATCCAGCCAGTAAAACACTCTGCTAGTTCCATTCAGTTGCCCAGACTCCACCCCCAAGGGATTATGGGGTGATTAAAAGAAGACGAGGATGCAAGGATTTCTCTGTCTTAGATAAAACTTTACTTTCTCATTTTTTTTCTCTTTTCCACAAATGCAAATGTTTTTTCAGACAACAAGTGGGTATTCCGGGTAGTTTTCTTGGAATCAAGATGGTCTTTTGTTTCTCTTCATCTCTGATCTGCCCATTTGGTCTATTGCCTTCATTTTTGTGAACCAGCCGATGTCAACTACCGTATAATCTCTCTTCTGACTCTCCTCACTGAGCCTTGGGACTTACTTCAGGGACAATTTTCTTGGCAATCATAGGGAAGTATTCTGCCACAGCCTCCTTTCCAGCTTAATCCTTGTCCTAGAATCTCCAGGTGGTCCCCCCTCCAAAAATATCTGCAGTGGCTTTTATTTTTTGCAACCTCAGCAAATGTCAGCTAAGTGCTGTCCCCTGGTGGACAAAAAGAGCTGTATGCTTATAATCAGGGCTGTCATTAGGGGAAGCTTTCAAGGAAGGGTCCCCAAAACACCAGGAGCACTCAGGGACATCCCCAGGGGGTTATCCAAAAGCTCAAGATGGCCAAGAGCAACTGTTCAAAGCATGTAGGATGCTTCCTCAGAGGTCGGCTCAAGGGAGGATGAGCTCATTCCTGGCACATAAGGAACTGGGTTAATTAATGTGTCAAGCCCAAAATTGACGTAGCCACTTTATTTAGCCTTATACTCCTTTTCTTTCTTTCTCTTTGCTGGTTATGGGGGGGGAGAGGGGTTTCGGGCTTGCCACATTCCTAAGGTGGGAGAAGTGGAGATAGAGAGAGTTGTTTAGGTGGTTCTTCTTCCTGTGGGAACGAAAACTGGCCCTGCTGAGACCTGGAGGTGGAGACTGATGGACCCCCCCCCCCCCCAAGCACTCCAGAGACCTACCTATGCCGATCACGCAGACGTCCGCCCGGAGAACCTTGCCGCTCTTCAGCACGACCTCCTTCAGCTTTGGAGAAAGGTAAAGGGCAGCCAATTAGAAAAGAATTGGATAGATTTCTTTGACCCAGCCTTGCTTGTCTGTGAAGCCAGAAAGAAAGACAGTGCTGGAGGGAGGAGGCTCCTCACTTCTCCTTGGGTGAGTGGATTCAAACAGGAAGATCCCGGCCACCTTGCAAGTTCTGAAATGTGATAGGTTCCTCCTCCCAGAAGACGCCCAAGGTCCCTTCCAGCTCACTCATTTTATTGCTGTTTAGCCTCCCCAGAGGGGGCTCTGCCTCTCCTCCCTGCCTGCCTGGGTCCAAAGGGAGTCGCCAGCTGCCTTACGAAGTGCCTCCACAACTGTGGACTTCCTCACTCTGTGCGTGGGCAGAATCCTAAGCGCTCAAAATGAGTCCGGATGAAGGCTGGAGGATCTCTGGATCTCGGCTGCAAGGGCTGTGGCTGATGGGGCAGGCAGTCATGTCCGGAGGGGGCAGGATGAGGAAGGGCCTTGTTCTTGATGTTCATATTTTTCTTTTATAAACAACCCCCCCCAAAAGTCTCCTCCAAAAGAAACAGGAGGCTGCAGAGATGATGGGAAAACTCTAATGGTTTTTTCTGAGAGCACATGCAACAAAGACAAATTCCTTGTGTCCAATCACACTTGGCCAATAAAGAATTAAATCTATCTATCTATCTATCTATCTATCTATCTATCTATCTATCTATCTATC